AACTGCAGAGCAGTTCAGGAGCATCTGCTAGCATTTCACTGGCCACGGACAGAATAACTGCAATAGCACCGAGAGAAACTGTTTATAAACCTATTTTTTAATGGGAACTGGTATTGAATGGTACTGCTTGTTAAGCTCAGGGAACATCTCCAGGAGGGCCTGCTAATTCAAGACCACTGTCGACCTGCATCCACCCTGGAGGAGGGGAAAAGGCTGACAAACCCTCTTCTGTGCTGCTTTTGTTTTACTGTATTGTATTGGCTCATAAAAGCACTTTCAGGGCCCATCTTTCTTCAGCAGAAAAGGAGAGCAGTGGGGAAGAGGAGGACATGGCAAAAAGACAGGCGGAGCTCTAGCTCCATTTGTTTTCAGTGTCTCGTGATTAATAGGTTTTAAGGAGGATGGAGAGCTCTCATTCCTCTGACAGTGGAGGAAGGGGCCAGGGCTCTGGGCTCTGGGTGCAAGCACCTACTCAGTCTCTCCTGGTCGTGGGTGGTTGAGGGGTGCCTGGTGGGCTGCAGCACCTCCCTGCCTCACAGGGCTTGAAGGACATTTCAAAGGACACCCAGCTCAGGGAAAGGGGTGCAGCTACATGGGCTATGCTGGCAGCTAGTGGAGTTTCAGGCTGGGTTGGTGCAGGAGCCTCCCCCTGCCCTTGGGATGCACTGGAAAGGAGTCAGAGGCTGGAAGCTTTGGCTGCTGACACGGCATGATGGCTTGTTTTCAGCCTGGGTGGCTTTTTGTGCAGACCTGCCTTTACTAACCCCACATTATCCTGGTGAGGACATCCTCTGGTGTCTCTGGCATGGTTTTTTCTGACTTGGAGTTGATATGATACCGTGGTTTTATTACCAAAGCCAAACAAACCATGAATTTGCAAGCAGAAATTGCAGTCGTAAACTCTTCCTGTTTACAGGTTGGTTTCTCTTTGTGTGCTCAACAATACAGTGTTTCATCTTGTGCAAGTCCTATGTTGCTTTCAGAGACTTAGGAACTATTGATTTATACAGCATGTATTAACTTCTTCAATAAATGGGGAGTATTCATCAGTGGGGTGTATTAAATTGGGCTGTATACGCATAGAAGCATCTTTCATCCTGTTAATGAAATGTCCTTACCATGCAACAAAGACTAATACACAGCAATTTATACACACAATCCCCTGCAGTTTAAATCTGAAGTTCAGATAGGTTTTTTTGTTCCCTAAAGGCACCTATCAGAACTTAGTCTAAATGGATCTCAGTACTCCTTTCAAACATTTATCAGTCCAAAATTTGTTGTGGTTTTGGTGTGGGAATTTTTTTCGTTCTAGAGCTCCATTATTGTTTAAACTGATCTGTGTTTAATCACTCCCAGAAGCATTTCAAATTCATATAGAGAGGTTTAGTACTAGAGCCCCTATGGGGACAATTTCTTCTGGTTGCTTCAGGCAGCAGTTGTCAAGAAAAGCAAACTTCTCTTGTCTTTTTGCAGTTCTTTACCATGCCCTCTAACCTAGCACATGAGACCTCAGCTTTCAGTGGAAAGGGGTGATTTATCAGCAGAAGGCTTGGTACTTCTTAGGTGCTGGGATTTGTCTTTAGAAATCTCCACTCATTGCAGTCCTGTTAGCACATGGCCTGATGCTAATCTGTGTGTACCAGTGCAGCTCCCCTTCCCATGCCTGACAGAGCCATAAATGGAGCTCTTCAACTTGCCAGAAAAACGCCTGCGTCTCACAATGGCTCTTAGCTTAAAAGTGCCCTTGATAAAGTGCCCACAAATGTATATTGGAGAATATTGCCTTTTGCAGGGGGATGTCTAAAGTCATCTAATGGGTGTCTCCTATTGATGGCTTCTGTGGTTTACCTTTCATTGCCAGTGGATGGGGTTAGGACCACACTTGTTACTCAGGCAGAGCTCCCATTGACTTCAAAGGAAGATGCATCTGCAGGATTAATCCTGCTCTTTCCCAGATAGTACTTTAGTTTTCTTTTCCAAGGAAGCTTAGTTAACTTCAGGAATGGTACTTTTAAAGAGCAGCTTGTTTAGTATATTATGCATGTTTAGCTTGGCTTGCAAATTGTGTGTTCTGAGGGGAGTTATGGTCCCTTTCCCCAGTGTGTGCTAAACAGTGCAAACCAGAATGGAAACCTGTTCCTGGGTAGTGGTACAGATGCAGACTGACTCGCTGGGAAGTGGATCACACTCCTCTGTCCCAGAGAGCATATTTTGGAGCATGTATATGACAGTTTCTCTCTTTCCCCTGGTACATTCTCCCCCCACCTCTGCCCCAGCATCATCAGAGTGGCAAAAGAGTATCCTACCCATGTGCCATTATATGAGTGATCCATTTGAGTGCATGGTAGTAACCTGAACAAAAATTGCTTACCAGGGGAAAAATTTGCAGACTTAAGGTTCAAGCTCTTAATTGTGGCTTTTTATTTGTTTTTCCTTTTGCTTTTTATTTGTCTCTGAAACATGTTAAGTGCAATACATCATAATTTAGCAATTGTTCTGTTTTGTGGAGATATTGTGGGCAGTCTTGGTATATCAAAGCAAGGAGTGATGGTTTCCCGCAGTTTACTTGTAACCCTCTTTGGTACATCTGGCTTTGGTGATGGAGCCATGTCAGTCCAGCTTTCCTCTCACATGTTGTTTCTTGTTTGTTGGCTTAAGTCTGACCCTCGAATGTTATTCTACTTATTTTTTTAACTAACCAGCTCCAGTTTCTGTGAAAATAAGCTCTCTGTGGAAGGCAGCACTTAATATCTGTCAGGGTCTGGATGAGGTTTACAATGATGTGAAGATAGAGTTGGGAGAGCACAAAGCTACAGCATGTATTAACTTCTTCAATAAATGAGGCCACACTGTGGGTCACCTAACAGCAGGAGTTCACACAAGTCTTGGCCAGAAAAAAATAACTCTTATTGGAAATCATCATTTTTGTGAACCTCATCAACTGGTCATTTGGCTTGTAATGTCATATGTTGTTGAGTAGATGCCTGCTACTTTGTATGGTGTGAAATATAATTTGTTAGGTGAAACCCTTACCAGAGCTTTCAGTTACTTCCAAACTGCTTGGGTTGGTTCACTTGAAAGAGAACAGATTTTGGGTTAGAGCATCTCCTTTGGCTTTTTGAACTTGGAGAACCAAATCCTCCTATCTCCTCCTGATGTGAAACCATCATGGATCAGTGTGGCCAGAAGTTGTCTTTGGCTGTTCAGCTGGCAGATCTGACCCACAACAGCTCAGTGTGCTGTTAATCACAGCATTGCCTGTCATGACCACGTTCCTTCCTGCATGGTGGCCACTTGACAGGGGAATCTCCTGTGCCAAGTGCTTGGTGATGGAGAGGAATCATCCCATGTAAGGGTGGCAGAAAGAGACGAACATGGTGAAGAACACAGGAGAAGTTGTGGGAAGCACAAGTACAGCTCTTGGCTGGCTTCTTTTGGATGCACACTTTTTTCTGCAGTTATCAAAGCAATGAGCCCAAATAGACACTTATGGCACAGACTGGGGCTGGGGGAGCCAAAGCATGGTGGAGGGACTTCTTGTTTATTCAGGGAAGACAGATGTTTCTTTTCCTCCTTTCTCCCAGTTTGTCTTCCCTCTTCCTTCCCCACAGTCTAGAAGCTCATTCCCAAAGAATAACTGAATTATTTTTGAAATGCTTTTAAGGGAAGCTCAGAGCATTGGAAGCCAGATGAGATAATAGCAAGAGCTTGTCTAAGGTGGCACAGTGAGGGGGTGTGTGTGTGTTTGGGGGTGCTGGGGAGTGAGCAGTGGGCTTGGAGCCATCCTGGAGCAGGAGGGTGAGCAGGAGAGTGCTGGCAGACCCTGAACAGCAGCGGCGCTATCGCGGCCACCATGGTATCACTACTTTATTTTAATGTGATTCCTTTTACTTGATGTTAATGCAAGTTGTTCCTTACTTAAAGTAATAAAAGGAAATGAAGACACATTCTAAAATGAAACCTGACTCTAATCCATTCATCATCTAATACCAGCCTCTTTATCTTTGCTGGTACCTAATCTGGTTAAATGTCCCTGTTGTAGGATTTTAGTGAAAATCCTCTATGGGGAATAGGGTTTTTTGCAATTGGATTACTCGCAGTAAATGGTCCAGCGGTTCAGCTGGTTTCAGCTTAATTTTTTCTTTGTGATCTTGTAAGGGTAAGTTACAGTTCAGCCTGCCTTTTTCTTTCATTCATTCACTCCTTTTATAATTTTTTTAAATTGTTGTTGAGAAAAATGTGTTGTTTTTTTTTTTACCCCCAGAGCTAGGAATGTGATGGGGAAAATCTCATGATATCTACGTGATTATTCCCCCTAGAAGAGTGTTAATTTCAATGGCTTTATCTGGGGGGTTTTGCCATTATTTATATAGCTGAATATTTTAGTAGCCTAATTAATCAGTATCCAGTTTCCATTTTTTAGCGCTCTCTGATGAATTGATAATTAATCAGCTCTTCTAAAATATATATATAAAATATGCAGGTGATCGCTTGTCAGCTTAATGCTTGCTGATGAAGGGAATACTCCAGCACTACGAAGGCTTTTTATCTGGAGTATTTGCAATGAGCAGTAAAATGCAGAACTGAGAGTGAGGACAGGAAGGGGAGAGGAAAAGACCTACAGGTCATTGAGCATTTGGGTCTCTTGCTAATTAAATGGGGGACTCTCTCAGCCCCTCACTGAGGAGTCTGCCAGCATCTTGGAGGTGAAGCACAAGATTATAAAATAAAAAGGAAAAATTTTAAAGAATTGCTGTTGCTCCATACAGGAGCATGACAGGTCAAAAAGATTAAAGAACCTCAACAGCAGGGAAAGTGTGTGAGGAGGTTTTAAGCAAGAGGGTGGGAAAACTGCAAGGGTGATGCCAAGAAGGAATCTGGAAAAGTCTGAGGATCACATCGAAATCCTGGCTACTCAGATTTTTGTGTGTTGTTCCTCATGCTGTAGTGGGGGGATGCCCAGTGCTGCTCTAACAGTGTCAACCTGTTTCTCTTGACAGTCTAACAAAGTGCCAGTTGTGCAGCACCCACACCATGTACACCCTCTTACGCCGCTTATCACATACAGCAATGAGCACTTCACACCAGGAAACCCTCCTCCACACTTACCAGCTGACGTAGACCCCAAAACAGGTAGGTGGGAAGTATTTTGGGATTTCTTTTCAGAGGGAGTGGGTGGATCTTCCCTTTTTGCGCATTAGGGGAGAGGAGTGTGGGAGAATGGATTTCCCATGCTGGAGCACCAAAGGGGGCATGTAAAATGTCAAACCCAGACAAAATACTTTCTTTTTAAGCCAATTAGGCTTCAGAAGGAAACCCACTGGGTGAATTTTCATAGAGCTTCTGCAGGGTGACACCAGAGTTGCATGTGTGGGGTCTCTTGCAGGTGTGTTTCTGTGCAAGCATGATACCCCACCTGGTAGTTCAGTCTACCAGTGCTTGGTTTGCATGCACGACCCAGAGAATTAAACATGTACATTCTGTGATCTGCACTTACAAAATTGCAGCTGGAATTTTAAAGGTGGTGGGTCATGACCGGTTTCAAAATGAATCTCTTTTAATTCCCCAAATCCCATTGTTTCTGTGTCAGGAGTTCAGCCATTTTTCTTCTATAATGTTGAATTTTCATCCACTGTAACTACTTAGCTCCAGCTTTACACTTGCAACTCTTTTCCCCAATGTAAGTCTACCCAGCTCTAAGTTCAGCCTGAAGGGCACTCTGCTTGAATATAGAGCACCACGTAAAATCCTGACTAGATTTATTGGTGTTACAGAGTAGAATTTACATGTTATTCTAACTTTCTAAGAGTCCCTTTTTAACCTGAGGTCCCAAAGAAGTCAAACAGTGTCAATCTTCTTTCTCCAGGCTGCGCTGAGCTCCTAGTGGCAGTGGTCTTGGTTTTGTTAATCCAAACCCCATTTAGTTAATTGGGGAGTTCATCAGAAACAGAATTCATGTCAAAGGAATCACTCTGTGTCAGCCCTAACTTATGCAGATAATTTATCTGGACTCCAGCCCTTGAATGAGACTGTGCATTAGCTGGTTGTCACTCGATATGCTTCAACTGGGGCCCCCTTTTAATTGTGCTTAATGCTGACTTCACATGGCTTGAAAGGAATCCATCTCACCATCCCTGGGTATTGCAAGTGAATGGCATAGTCAACCTCTCATTTAAATAATGGTAGTACAGGGAATAGCTTTTAAATGGTTATCGTAAAACATATGATTAACGTCTGTAGACTGTTTACTTTTCTTCTGTGAACATTCTTTCAAGTGTGCAAATAGCTCACTGGATGGTTAAAGCCCAGTTAATCTGTTTGGGTTTTGTAATGGAGAAAAAGCAATGTCTGCATGAAAATGTCACACAAGGAGATTTAATTTAGAGATTAAAAGCTTCCCAAGTGACTTAAAAAAAATAGGTTTTAGCCCTGAATACAGTACCCCTTCTTTTTAATGCTCTCTGTTTTAATTTTGCTTCTGCTGTGTAATTGTGCCCTGGCTTGTTAATTGAAAGACCCAGCTTTGTAACCCTTACTCCTCTGAGTAATTCCTATTTGCTCTTAAGGTAAGGAGCGTTAATATTTAAGGCTTGTTTCTGCTTTCTGAGTAGGAACTGCACCTCATCCAGAGAGAGGAGGGGTGGGCTCTCTGTCCTCCCCTGCACACTTTCAACATCTGCCCCTGGTTTTACCAAGTACTTCCAGGGCCCTCGCCTCCACTCCTGGTTTCAGAAAAGTTTTCCTAGGTTTGCTCAAAAGCAAACATCATTTGCAATTTTAACGACTTTTAAACTTGTTCTGGATATTACTTTGGAATAATGCCATGTTATTGAGTACCCAGTCATCACATGGGTAGGGCCTGTGGTCTTTTGGCTGACTTTGAAACTAAAATAACCATGAAATTGTTGCAGGGGCCATCTTTTTGTTGAACATTTAAGAGAATATCTAATACAGCATCACACCAAAATTTTATCTGAGACTGCTAAATTCTAAATAACAAAAATAATTATCTCTGGAGAGGTGACTGAGGGAGTGAATAACATCATTTTTTCTTGTTTAAAAAATGAGAATGTGAAAAAGCCTTTGAAAACCCCAAGTGAAGGCACAAATACTGTAATAAAAGTAAATTGACAGAAATTTAGAAACATATTCGTTTTTTCTTTATATTTTATTTATTTCCACATTTCAATACTGATGATGCTTTTTGTTCCTCTTTTATAGGAATTCCAAGGCCTCCACATCCTCCAGATATATCTCCTTATTATCCATTATCACCAGGCACTGTAGGACAAATCCCCCATCCGCTAGGATGGTTAGTACCACAGTAAGGAGTTCCATTTTTTTAATTTCTTTTTTTCTTTTTCTGATGTGTAAAATTTATGTAAAAATGTGTGTGTGTGTGCATGCACATTGCGAAGAGTTTGTTTGCCAGCTGCCACTTCACTGAGTGTTATGAATTTATCCACCTCATGAAGGTTAATTAAGATATATGCCAGGTCATGTGGTCATAAACTAACCTGAGCAGTTGGACACAGCTTTGCATGTCATCCCAACCAGCTGACAGCTTGTGAAACATGAATTTTTAAGCCCTTCTGCAGAAATGTCCTTTTCTTGTTATTGCCCTTACACTGCACTGCATGAGTTTTTCTCAGATTTGGTTTTCTAGGGCCTCAGGGTGGTTCTCACAGATCCTCTGTGTTGCAATTTTAAATTTCATTTGCCTTGTCTTTTGAAAACCCTTTTGTTTTTCTAATGAAACAGTAGAGCTTTACATCAGCCATGAGCAGCATTCCTAGCTGAGATGTGGCTGGGCAGTTGGCAATTGGCATCTGAGGAATGGAATTTTAAACAAGTAAAAGGAATTAGTTTACTTCAAAACTGGCTTAGAAAAAAGCAATGGAAAGTTAGTTTGGGGTTTGGTTTTGTTTTCAACTCCTCAGACCCCACTTGCAGAGCCTTGCTGGGTATGAGGCTCCTTATTTTCTTTTTTTTCTTATGTTGCCATCTCTCAATAGGTTTATAATATGCTTAAGCACTGTATAAGCCTTTTGTGTAGTATATTTGATTTAAATGCTTATAAAATCCATTTGTGTTGCTGGATACAACAGTTCTATGCATTATAAATCAAGACTGTTGCCCTGTTTTTCTCACGTAGCAGGCCTCCGTTTTGGGGTGATCATATTTTTTATAGAAGTGAATTACCCAAAGTTCAAGGTAGTTTGCTCCTGCTTGAGGTTGTTTGGCCAGCTGTGCTAAAATACCTCTCCAAAAATTCCTCCATGAGGAACTGGAGTTGACAGCCCAAAGGAGAGCAGGGGGTCACTGCATATCCCCAAGTCTTGGGCAAGGAGAGGTGGTGGCATCAGAGGCCTTGGATGCCTTTCTCAAGCACAAAAGTGTTGATGCAGAAGAGGTGGAGCTTCTGGCCATTTTGCAGGCTGTCCTTCCTTGTGGGTGGTCATGCAGCTATTTTGGGTAGTTGTTCCCCCACCCTGAGGGTGAAGCATGTCCATCACCTCTCTGCTGAATGTTGCTTATCCAGAAGAGCACATCTTGAGCAGAAGAAAAACCCAAGGAATTGCTCCCTGAAATCTGAAATTCCTCCTTGTTTGTGGTGATTTACCTTTTCCAAAGGACACCCTGAACAATCGTAGACTGCATGTGAGCTCCTTAGCTCAAGTTTGCACAACAACAGCCTCAGTGTTTGAAACAAATACACTCAGCTAGTGCCGAAAGTCAGTGACATGAAAGACATGAGAGCGCAGGGAAGAAACTCCCCACTGTCCCTGACCTATATCCCATTGCTCATGTGTGTCTGTACTGTGCAGACACAGGTTTGTCCTCCTTGCACCTCATGCCATGGCTGCCAAAGCATGTGAATGATGCCACGTGTGGCCAGTTCCACCAGACAGGTGCTAATGACCACCTCTGTCTCTGGACAACTCTTCCATCCCTGCTGCTTCAGAACAAGTCAACACCATGGTGTGCTTGCCTACCCACAGCTCTTACAGCTTCTCCCAGTGATTTTTTTCAGGGGTGGCACCATCACACTGGCTTTTGCTCTAGGAGAGTAGCATGGCCAACTTCACAGACGTAACCCAAGTTTTTCATTTCCCCTCTCCTTGCCTCTTGCACTTCACCATCAACTTCCCAACCCATCTATCCTCCACTGGCCTGCATGTTTCTGGCATAGTACCCACTCCAAAAGCATCCTGCCCAGTCAGATGATGTATTTGAAGGACAGATGAAACGAGCTAGCCAGCACAGACAAACCTCCATCAGAAAAAGTTGTGTGTCTTTCATGAGGATGCTGTTTTGCATGTTGCTGTATTTTTTAATTATTGTAATGAGGTGTGATTGTCTATTGGTTACCCACAATACTTCTTGGGGACTCTCCCCCGGTAACTCTTGTCAACACTTGTTAATCTGACAAAAGGCTACAAATTAAGCTCTGTTAATTTAATGTTTTCTCACCGAGATCTAAATACCGAAAGAGGCCCAAAGCGCAACTGAAGTCCTTTGATTCACTGTACTTTATTTTGGTATAAATTTACATTCATTATTGTTTTCCTTTGGATGTGTAGCCCTCAATTAGTGTGATGGCTCCATTAAAGCAAGCGAGACTTCGCCTTTAATTATTACAACAAAACACCTAGTTTCAGCTTGGGGAGAGGGTCTCTATTGACATAAGCAGAGGTTATAAAATTTAATTAGCCATTCCTATCAGATTTATGGCATTCAAATTGTTCTGTGTTTCTTTCCTTTGATCCTTGCTGTACAATCCCCAAGATTTTTGTTCTGATCAAATGAGAATAAAGCTTACTGTGCAGAGAGAAGTTTTTTGTTGTTCTTTTTTTTTTTTTTTTTTTTTTTTAAGCCCTTTTTTCCTTTCTCTCATTCACTCTCTTCTTCTTTTTTGCCAGGCAAGGTCAGCCAGTGTACCCAATCACGACAGGGGGTTTCCGCCACCCTTACCCAACAGCTCTGACCGTCAATGCTTCCATGTCAAGGTGAGTTCAAATACTGAGGTCCTAAATCAAGAGCAAATGTAGCTCCTCCTCCCACTCTCTGTAGGAGAGCATTTAATCTAGGCAGCAGATTCCTGAAAGCACTTCAGTTAAATATCCAACCTGAGCTTTTTGGTGGGATGGAGGAGAGGGCGAGGGCTACCATCCCGTGTGAGGAGAAGGTGGTGTCCTAATGCTGTCATTGGGCCTCAAGAATTTGTCTTAGAGGGAGAGGTGGAGGAGTGAGAAGCCAAACTAAATGAAAGAGCTGGGAGAGTGTAGTGTTGAAAAAGCAGGGATGAGAAGTCATGATAGCCTTTGCTTCCTTGGTGGCCATCAGCCAGAGCAGCGCTGTGTGCGCGGGAGGGAAGGCTCAGGAGGGAGGAGGACTGCTCTTCAGCAGAGTTGGGAGGAAGGTTATTGTGCTGTGTTTTCCCCTCCCAAAGCTCCAAACACTAATAGTCAACATAAAAGGGCCTGCCTGACCCTCAAAAGCCTTAGAAGTATATATTTCTCCCCCTCCCTACCTCCAATTAATTCCATCTAATTTTCCAGGGGCTGCTAGTTTTATTTACAAACTGGTTGGCAGCACTATGTTTAAGTAATCAGTAATTGCTCCTAATGATAGTTTTATTTTCTGTTCATCTGATTTTCAGCCTGGTTAATTAAATCGGTGGAAGTTTAGGCTTTCCTGATGGGCTGAAACAGCTAATCCATTTTGATGATGGCACATAATTAAATTAGCATGCATTACATAGCAAGGTTCCACATCTCTTCCCTGCTCTGTCCCTTCCTCTCCATCTCTGCAGTTTAATATGTGAGCGTTGGTGCATAGATGATCTAAGGAGGAAAAGACTGGTGAGGGCTGAGGGGAAGCACACCTCATTGAGAAGTGGAAATCTGTACCTAGGGCTCGTGAATGAATGGGTGGGAGAACATTGTGGTGTGTGCTTTAGATAAGTAAACAAAAAACCTAAAAATTTAAATTAAAATGCTGGCCCAGCAATAGACAACTGGAAAATCAACTTTAAAAAAAAAAAAGTGTAGTTCCAGAACACAAAAAAAATACTAGGCTGGGGAGAGAGCTGCAAATTTAAACAATGGTTCCCTCCCCCTATTTAATCTTTTTAATATCTGTAAAAGACTTGCAGGCATGGTGTGAGGCAAAGTAGAGCTTGATTTAGTTTAATTATTATTAGAGAGGCTAGTCATTTGAGGGAGGGGGGAGATGTGGAAGCAGGGGGGGCTATATTCCCAAGATAGACTTTATGAAAGGTATCTAGTTAAAAAGAGTACACAGCAAATTAAATACATTATTGTGGTAATGGGACGACAGAAGTAGAGGTCTATTATACTTATGGCAGTTATAGGAAATGTAGGCTCCTTGCCCTGTTCTAGCACATCCTTTGATATTCATTCCATTCAGCAGCAGGGCCAGGACTTCTCAGAATTAAGTGATGGGTCATTATACTTTAAACACCATGGAGAAGCCTAGATTGGCAATTAAACAGCACTTGCTGACACTCGCTTGTGCCACCCTGTGACCCCCTTTAGATTGAGTTGTTGGAGCTCGGGGCCCTCAGCCTGCTAAATTGGTAGCAGGCACTTCTCCTGACGAGGGCTGGCTCTGAAATCTGCCGGCTTCAAAGGGAGCAAGATCATGTATAAACCATAATGTGGGTGCACCGTGGCTCAAAAAATAAGGCAGGAATAGATGAAATGTTACAAGTGCAAGGGGAAAATGAGAGAATAATGACAAATCTAATGCAACTCAAAGCAGAATTGTTGCACAGAAAAATGCATCCCACTGCTTGTGCATAAAATCAAGGCAGGCAGATGACATCCAGTTAACAGAAACATGTCAACAGTGAAGTAAAGTGAGAGTGAGTAAGAGAGAAGCCCCTGAGACAGCCAGGAACAAAAAATTAGTTGTCCTTAACAAGTTAAGACTCATCATTATATTCTGGCTTGGAGCCATAAAAGGAGACAGTAGTGTATAATGAGCTGCTTAGAATTTTTAGGGTGTTTATTGCAATTCATGGAATACTTGTCTGGAGAAAAAAAAAAAATCTGGTGAATGTCTTAGGCGAAGGTGAGGGGTGTGCACATACACAGGGAGCCTTTCTTTTTGTCTCTGACAGAAGCCCGTACGTGTGCACGTGCTCAGGCACACGTGCAGGGGGGTGAACTGATTTAAGGTGTTTACCCTTTGTTTCAGCCCAGAGACTTCTCCTCTGGTTTCCCGTAGATGGGAGCACCCTCTGTGCTCTCGTATGTGGTTTCATGTGTGTTTTCCTGTGTCAGCCTGGGCTCAGCAGGGGGACAGCCCTTGTCCAGGTGTCTGGTGTGGTCAGGAGATTCCTGGTGGTGCCCATGCTGGCCCTGGGCAGCTGCCCCGCAGAGCCCTGCTGCAAACCCTTCCTTTGCTGTGCTGGCTGTGCCTCAACAGTGAAGTCAGCACAGACCTCACCCCTCCATCCACAGTTTTCCAGAGCCTGCCTTCAAAAATAGTTCCCATCTTTGCCTGCATTATGGTGTAGATCTTTGGAGCCTGTAGTGCTTCCCAACCTTTAGTTCCCTAAGCTTAGAAATTACTCTTTATTAGTTTAAGTGTGCTTATGAATAGTTTATAAAAGGTTAATGGGTGACTAATAGTGGTTTTTCATAGATGGTTTAGACTATTAAGGTGGTGTCTTTAACCAGTTACAACTCTTGGTTGCTGCTTGTAGTCTTGCCACACTCACGTTATATGCTTGTAGTATGCCTGTAAGATCTCTTGATCCTTCATTACCCCTCTGTAATATGCCTTTAAGGTAAAATGAGACAGGGCTAACTGAGTGATGGGCAAACAGTGGACCCACTATGAAAAAACAACTGCTGTGAGAGGAAATCAGGAAATAATTTAGCAGAATTACACCAGACAAGCACTGCACAGCAGTTAAGTGGTGGCAGTGGAAAATACCTTCTGTAATTGAAATTTCAGAGGAAATTCACTTTTGCAGAATGTAATTACTGAAGTTGGAGTGTAGCCAGGAAGTTAAAAATTAACACCCTTCTCCTGCTCATATTGCCATGTGAGTGGCTGTCTACATGGAAATGAGCAGGCACTCAGCTCTTGGGCTGAGCCCTCATCCTACCAATGGAAGTCCTTGGGATTGTGACAGCAACTTTGGGTTCTGGAGCATGTTTTTATAGCCCTAAATATAGGAAAGGGTGTGTAAGTCCAATAGGCAGCCTTGTGAATTGGACAAACTCAGTATGAAAAAGTGGATGGTCATTGGTAATGAACACAGCACTTCCTCATGGAGACTGCAACCCTGAAAATAACCACTGAGCTGCAGCTGCCTGTTGATGAAGGCTGCTGCCTCTGGAGTTTAGAGCCCAGTGAGTAAAATATCCCAGCTGAGGTCAGTGGAGGCTTTGCCATCCTTTAGGCTTTGACACAATGTGTGCATGCTGTGCTCTGCACTTAGATTTTCTGCCTGCTGGTACATGCTCAGTGCACTTCATGCTGAGTCCTCATGTCAGACCAGCAGAGCTCTTCCTGCCTGCTCTCTGAAGGAAGGCTTTTCATCTCCATCTTCATCCTTCATTGTCCCCTTGTCTCTGGCCTAGCCAGCCCCAGCAGCATTGTCCTCTCTGAAGCACTCAGTCTTGCCTAGGACAATCCCTTGAGAGGATGTGTTTTTATCCCTGTGCTTAGACTGCATTCAGCAAGGTCAATTTTTTACCACCACTTTTATTTTTGATCATGTTTGTTAGTTATTTTTAAAAAAAATCCAGCTCATACTGCCAGTTTTTATTTGCATTGTACCATGTTTGAAGGTCCCAGGTGCTGTGTGAACAAATTTTAGATATGTCCAATCAAAATACATACACATGGAAGTAGAGATAGAACAGAAAAACGTAATACAAAGGCCCAGTTTGTGTCTTGCTGATGGGGAGCAGTTCTGTGGCAGAACTGGGACAAGGATGCCAGTCTCCTTTGCAGCCTCGACACTGTCTTCTCTTGTGACCTACCATGAACCAAAGCATATCCTCAAATATGTGCTTCTCTCCCAGCTACTTTTGTCAGAGAGTGGGAAGGCACTTGGACAACCCACTTGGCGATTTGTGTCCGTGAGTCTTTAGCAGAAATAGGAATGACCATTTTGCTGCCCATTCTCCTCTTCCCTTGCCATCCCACCTTCCTGCCTCCCTTCTCTCCATGCCTTTGTTCATGAAGAACTGCAATTCTCTACAACTTGAACAATTTCACATTCTCCCTGTCAGTCCTTGCTCTTCCCACCACTGCCTTCAAAGACAAAATAGTTCTGTCTAATCACCCTGAGTACTACCAGCTGATAGACAAAAGATCCTCAGAGCTTGTAGTGGACAGTGCTCTTGTTCATGAAAGTACTTCTGTGTCATCTTGTGAATGTAGAGAACGTCTGGGCAGTCACAAGGGATGGGATTGTTAAGCTTGGTACTGGAATTTATAAGAGGGGAGAGAAAAAGATAACCCCACTATATTTCTGATGCTTACACACGGCGATATCCATGGTATATCACCCCATTTTAAATCCTGTTGGATGGATAGAAAAAAATTACTGTATATTGGTGATAGAAGAAATAATTATTTATCCCATTGAGTGTTCCATAATCTTGGGTTATTTTACTTGGATCAGATTGTTCAAAATCTGGGATGAGAGTGGGGATTTGCAGAGAGAAAAGCCCGTGCCAGATCGCTTTAATTTTGGTGTTTTGAGGAAAGTTACTTCTGAAACATAATTTTAGGCTAGAATCCATTCCATGGAAACCAGTTGACTTCAGTGGGGGAAGGCAGCCAGTCATACTCTGCTTTCCTTATTTACTGCAAAACCTTTCTGAGACTGTTGAGAAACAATGATATAAGTCAATATTGCTTTTGAGAAGTTTGTTCATTTCTGTTAAAATGTAAAAAATCTGAATGATTGTGCCATGTTTGTGCTGTGATCCCCATTAAGCAATTAGATTCATGCAGAAGGATTGCATATCCCTCTGAATCCACTTGCAGGACTGGGATCTGTCCATGTATATGACCATAAACCATAAAGCTGACAACATTTTTTCTGTTTAGAAAGGCTAGACTGTTAAAGCCTTTCTAGGTTACTTAAATAGATCAAAAATTCCACAGTCTTCCACCTTCTGTTAAAGCAGTGTGGCTCAGAGATTTATTAGACACAAATAAATATTTTCTTTTTCTCCATCAACAAAATGTAGCTAATGAGGCGTCTATAAGTATTATCAAAAATGCATCTAGAGTGTGTTGGCATTAATATTTTATTTTGCTGTCAATATAGAATAAAAGATGTCATCCTAAACTCACAACGTGATTCAAAACTATAAAAATTGATTCCTTGGCTGCCACACATAATTTCTCTGCAAAGAAATGGACTGGTGGATTTTGTTTCAGGTAGCTGAAATTCCACCTTCATACAAGTTCATTCAGTTGAATTCGCCTTTTGTTAATGTTAAAAATCATGATGTCTCGTGTCAGTAATGATAATGAAGGGGAAGATTGGCTTTAATGACATTAGAAGAGTCATTATGTTTAATTTATTGCTAATTAATGCTGCCAGCTTTCATATGCTTTGTCTAGCTGTCATGTGCTTGTTATATGCCAGTTGTTTTTTTGTTTTTTTTTTTAAATGTGTGTACACATCCCTCCCCATTCATTCATTTTTATTCTGACAATTTACACAGCTTTCTCTCCTCTAGGTTTCCTCCACACATGGTCCCGCCACACCATAGTTTACACACAACTGGAATTCCTCATCCGGCCATAGTCACACCAACAGTCAAACAGGAATCTTCCCAGAGCGACGTCGGCTCACTCCACAGCTCGTAAGTTGTTGCTTCCCCTGTCTTCTCTTTGGGATACTCAGAGCATCCCCTGTGCATGTGTGGCTTGTAAAAAGGCTTGGGTTTGTGATGGTTTTGCTCTGAAATATTTTTTCAATTTTTCTTTTCTGTTATAATTGATTTGAATGTGGTTTAGCTGCCAAAGTGTGTCCAAATGATGGTAGCAGTCTTTGAGTCATTCTATGACATAGGCAAGTAGTTAGTAATTTCACCTGTTTCGACAAGGAAATGGAATTTTCTTGATTGAGATTCAAGTTTCTTGACCAGTTTCTCTATTACTCAGTGTCTAGTTTGAAGCCTTGAGATAACAGATACACCACAAGAGACAAAAAACTAAGCATAAATGGCTTCTTCAAAGCTGCAGAGAGCTGGTATCAAGTTTAGGTTTGAACTGACAAGAGCCCATTGATAAAGGGATGTAATTATTTCCTCTACTGTCATGCTCAAGCTCTCCCTGTGAGCCCATTTTTCTGGAGCCCATGTCCTTCCAGGGTTCTTGTAGGGGCTCAGAGGGTACTTGGTGATGTTGCATAAACATGAGGTGAGTTTTCTTGTAATGCTTTTAAGAGTGTTGCCATACAGCAGCCAGGGTGAAGGATCTAGAGAACCTTCTGGTCCTCTTCCTAGAGATTGCTGAGGATTAATGCTAGAGAGATTGAGGGGATTAATTTAATAAAGTCACAAGGGGTTCTCACTGTGAGGTCTCTGTCTGTTGTATCTTTACTCTTCAGAAAACATCAGGACTCCAAAAAAGAAGAAGAGAAAAAGAAGCCACACATAAAGAAACCTCTTAATGCATTTATGTTGTATATGAAGGAAATGAGAGCAAAAGTTGTAGCAGAATGCACATTGAAAGAGAGCGCAGCCATCAACCAAATCCTCGGTCGAAGGGTAGGTTACAAGGGACAAGCACCAGCAGGGCCTGAAACTCGGTGGGATTCACACCTTCTGAATCCCTCTGTTTTTCTGCCATTGTGAAAATGGATAGGGAAATTGCTAAACCAAAGGCCTTGGCTTGTTTTTTAGTTTTCTCGGGCACTTCTTGCCAGTGGGGTCATTCATGGGGAAGAGGAGGAGTTAATTAATAGCAGTGTTATTTCATTATCATTTCCATGACTTGTTGATGAAAAAGTCTTAGATTTTTATTTTGGCCTAAGATAAAGTGAATGGGGACTGAAAAGCCTTTGAGTACAGTACCAGTATCAGCACCTGTGAGAGCTAGGAGAGGTGAGGAAGTGCCAGTGGGGGAGACACCTCCAAAGCTGTAACTGAGTTCTGGCTCAGGACAAGTGGTTCAGCTTCTGGACCATATCCCCTGCTATCTGTTTTTGTTTAGATTTATTAATTCTCCTCTCTCAACAGGAGACAAAAGGGGTTGAGTGTATGTAAATGATTAGTTGTGGTTCAGTTATCTAACTGCAGTTATAATCTAGAGCTGTAAATAAAATATGAATGTCAGCATGCCAGATCATCTGTTTTTATCTCTTTTTTATGAAAATCGATTCTAACTGTATCTATATGTATAAATAACACACTTTGCTGTTAACATGCTTAAGAAAACCCCCAACCACTAGTGCTTTTTATTTTGTCTTTTTGTCTTTTCTCCACCCCAGTGGCACGCGTTATCCAGAGAAGAGCAAGCGAAATACTATGAACTAGCAAGAAAGGAGCGACAGCTTCACATGCAGCTGTACCCGGGCTGGTCCGCACGGGATAACTATGTAGGTTCCTATTAGGTGGAAACTTGTAGTAGTAGAACCTGTAGAAATGTCTGTGTGACCTGCTGAGCTACAACCACACATTGCACACAAGCACTACATGGAAGGGCTCAGGACCCCAGTCTGGTAACGACAGCAGGCGCTTCCCTCAGCGATACCGAAACTACTGGGAGGTGATTCCCACTTGGAAGAGGCTTCCTGGCTGGGACTAGTATGGGGCTGGAATTTGAGGATAACAGTAGAGCTCTGTGGAAAAAGTTTTCCCTTCACTTTTACCAGCATCTAGGGATGCTGTTTGGTTTGCTGGTCATTTCGAATTTCATTTTTTAAAACAAAATTTTAAATGCCCCTTGTATGCTCCTCTCCTTTCTGCCAGAAGAGATAAATAATTAGTGTCTTGTGCTTATCTGTGTGAGAATGTAGTGGAAGGTGGAAGAATGACTTATCCTACCTTCAGAAAAGGATTGGCAAAACCAAAAGCATTATATTTTTGAAAGTCTTACTCTCAAGTGGGGTTAAATGAATTATTCCACTCTATAGCTGTGTATTTTGTTTATGTTTCCTTTTTCATGTCCATATTACCTTCCCCCCCTGCCCCCCTCCTAATTTTCTAAAAAGTATATTGGAATTCATGGTCAATTCATGGATTGTTTTAAAATTGATTCCTCCCTCTACTTTTCAGAAAGCCTTTTTTTGACCTAAAAGTGGTAGTATTTTTTGTCTGTTTAACAGCATAAGGGCAGCTTTATAACTCCTAGTACTAAATAGCTCTTTCCATGAAGGGTAAGCGGTGCAGATGGTAATAAGTGTTTGCAAGCCTAAGCCCATAAATTCTTGACAGGTTTGTGGATTGGTGAGAGCTCTAAACCCTTTTTAATAGGATTATAGCAGCATCTTGATTTTTTTTTTTAAAGTTAAATAAAAATAACCTAAAACTCTCAAGGTCTCTAACACTGTAATAAACCCTGTTCCCTGCCTTCTAGTCACACTTCCCTGCAGGCTTGGGGACCACCAACTCTAAGATTGATGCCAGTTTTGTGTAGGGTTACACCTTACAGTTTTGTTGAAGTCTGTCTCTTTGATCCACATCATAATCACTGTCTGTTTTATCATAAATATTCTGTTTTGCTCTATATAACAAACTTGCCTCTGTGAATCTGCATTTTTATATGTATGGGTGGGAGGAAGCCAGTTCAGAGTCTGCAGTGAAGTCGGGAGAAGCAGCAGCTCTTTACACTCTTCTGCCCTTTCAGTGATGGAGAGTACACATGCTCACTTATTTAGCAATATGTACTTACTGACATTTTTTCAAATCCTTCTGTTTTCTTGATCATCTTTTCTTTCCAGCGGGCTCAGCTCTCCCTCCTTGGTCATTACAGGTATACCTGTGCATGCTCAATTGTCCTTCCAGTGCAGAATATTCTTGATTCTGTGCTCCTCAGAGGAGACCTTTTTAAGCCTGATGAGGCACAGCTCCTGCTTAGCACATTTTCCTTCCCTTTTCAGCACAGTCTGGCCTGAGGCTGTCAGACCACAGACTCGAGGTAGTTCCTCAGCACTGTGCAGTATCGTCGTCTTGGGTGTTCAAAAGGGAGTCTAGGCTCGACTGAGGTTTCGGGAATGCTCATTCTGCACAGTGACTGTGCCACCGACAGATGGGCATGTACAAAGCCTCAGTGTTTAGGACCTTTTACTTTTGTCCTCACTGTGTGAACACTGAGAAACCCTTTCTTCTCAAGCTAAAAAGGACAGGATGAGAAAGCCGGTGCTTTCCCAGCGGCTTGATGCTGTACCCCCAGGTGACCTTCAGGGGGAACCTTCCTGCCTGAGGAGAGCGTGGTACCTTTGCATCATCCACAGGATTTATTTATGTCTCCTCTCCTGGTCCATTCACAGCTCTCCTGAGTGCCCCTCCTCCCTCAGCCTTTTGTAGGGTCTTGAGCCTTTCACACATCTAGCAGGGGAGCGGCTTTGGGCTGCTTGAAGTGGTTAAATTGTTAAACACCTCACATCAGGCTCAAGGATAAGGCCAGCTATAGCCCAAGTCTTCAGAGACAGAGCAGTGCATTCAGGAAATGCAGTTTTCAGCCTCATGGCTTGTTGGTGTCACAAGGCACGTTGGTTCTTCCTGAGATCTAGTATGAGATGTTTAGCAGTGCTGAGTGCTGGACTCAGAAGTATGTAAGGGTCCAGTCACCTCACCCACTGCTTGTCTAGAAAATTAGTACCAAAGAACTCTCAAAACCCATGCTGGTTTGGCTCCGGAGAGGGAGCTACCAAAATTGTTGGCAGGTATTTACATCCATATTTATTTGCAGCATAAAAATTTGTATAGTATGATGACAGAAAATGTTACAATCTGCTCAAGTCTTGGGAGAATAATTTTAGGCAAAGAAAAAATGGTGTCTTCTGCAGAGCACTTGAAAAACTGCTGCCACAGTTCCTTCCTTAAGTCCATATATTAATTTAGCTACATAGTCTAATATCCTCTTGTAGCCCAGAAATTGAACAAGAAAAGATTGTTCTTCTCCCTGATGCTTTGAAAAGGGTGTAAAAAAGTCGATGTGACATCTGTCCATTCTTTGTTAGGAAGAGTTTTAAGAGCTTGTGTTGAAAAGGAATGAGAAATTCCTGGTCCCTGGCTGACATTCCTGTAGATCAGGTGTTTTTAACAGATTGCTTCCTAATGGCGTTACAGTACTTTCACAAGCTCTTCAAGCCAGGTATTAAAGGCAGGTGACTCCTGACCTTTGTTCTGGCTGGCCCTCGAATGAAGAAGTTATAAGGTCTCAAACTGAAATAGCCCTTGAATTCCCAAATGTACTGCAAAAATTAAGCAAATTTGCCACAGATGCAGTCTGTTAATTATGCCACTGGCCTCCTTGCAATTAAATAAAAGTCAGGCATATGATCTTGAGGCAATTGTCTGGTTTTGGTTGCGTTGTTGAAAGCTGGAAAAAATTCACTGATTTTCTCAGAGTTACTGTCCATCTAGATCAATATAGATGGAGCAGAGTCTGAGCCTCTTGCATCTTTATGTGATACATGGATTTCAAGATACTGTGCTTTTCCCTATTCTGTTCTCAGAGAGCTTTAGGAGCAATACTTGTCTGTCTTATCTGCCTGTCATGTTAGACTGATGGCTGCTCTAGCAACTGACAACTTCCATATCCCAAAAAATTACCTCAGGGGTGTCAGAGATTATTTGTCATCAGCATCGAGGCTGCAGGATTGTGTGCCTGTTGTTTAAAGTTCCTTTGAGGTGGACAGTTCACACTGCTTTTTCCATCTCCAGAAGGCTCTCATAAACCTGGAACAGCCTGGACAACAGGATGGCAGTTTACAACCCTGAGCAGGCAGGGGGGAATGAGCGCAGAAACCCCATGCCACAAGGCCAGGTTTGTGGAGGAAAAACAGGACAACGACAGATCACTGTCCTGCATTCATGTTGGGGGAATTTTTTACTAATACATTCCAGGAAATCTACCATAGGGAGCATCCCAAATGTGGATGCGCCATGCTGAAGCCCATCTTAACCATGTATCTGGAATCCATCTGCTGAGAAAGATGCCCATTGTGTGGGAGAACCTCATGGCTTTCCCAGATACATCCAACCCTTCAAAAGATCTGTGAGATTCATTCTTCCAAGATATGTTTGTTGCCCCTTAACCACAAGGGACTGCTGCTCTGAGGTCTTCTCATCAGCTATGCTTGCTACCATGTCTTCAAAAGCCAGGAATTCTTGTGCTGTTCACACCTGACATTGCTGGTCCAAAAGTTGTTGCTTTTAGCATTTGGAGAGCTGTGAAAATGAAATTACTCTGTTGCCTACACTGGCCTTGTACTAGTCTGCAACCTTGTACCTCAGTGTTAGAGGAGTTTTCTTGGAAAAATAGATTTTCTTTTTTGAACTATGCTTATTACTTCGTATTTTTTCTATTGGAAAGCAATTACTGTTTTTCCACAGAAGCTGGGCTCCCAGTTGTCTTCTCCCACACTGTTGGAGGGAAACAGAATAGGCTTTTCTCCCTCCAGTCAAAAACTGTAATAAATTTCATCATCTTGTGGTACAGCATTTGGGAAAGGGATAGAGTTTAGCAAAATATTACTGGTTGTTTTCTTGTGATAGAGCAAAATGTGGGAAGGGTCTTGGCTATGTCTGGATTTTTTTTTCTTGTCCTGGCATTGCTTTCTAGGTTGTCAGTGGAACTATAAAACTGCAGGTTAGGATTTATCATTACTGTGGGCTTCCTTGTCTGCTTGAATGCTTGGGGTTTGGTGATGAGGAACTCCAGGGGCTCAGTCTGACCTCACTCTCCCCTCTCTATTCTCCCTCTCCTTCCCGTCCCTGCACCACCAATACATGACCACAAATGATTCTTGAAACTTCTGCATGCAGGAGCATACACATGTGAGATGTTTTTGGCTTCATGGTGATCTTAGCTCAAAAGCAGCATATTGCAAGTCCTTCTGCCCCTGCCCCAGCTGCCCATGGCCTTGGTGGGTGTTAGCACTGGGTGGGCAGCAGTGAGCCTGTCTGAAAAGTCACAGGGTAGGGAGGCAGAGTCAATCCTGGGGTGCAGCATCTCCTTGGAGCTCCCCAAAGTTCCCTGCACGGAGGATGAGCCAGTGTCACGCTTTGGTGTCGCCCCTTGGGAGCTTCCTGCTCCAGCCACAGCCTCATTACTGAGTGCCCTCTTGCAAGGACACTTCTTTGTGGCTTAATTCTAATCCTTCTCGTTTGTGTATGTTTTCTGCAGGGAAAGAAGAAGAAGAGGAAAAGGGATAAGCAGCCAGGAGAGACCAATGGTAAGTAAAGATAAGTCTAAACCTCTTGCTTAGTGGAAGTGTGGCAGTCCTGGTGTGACCCTTGTAGGTACGGGGGAGGTGGGCACAGGTCTCCTGGCCTCAGGGGAGCCAGTCCCTACGTTAGACAGCTTTTTTTTTTAAGTGCACTCCAGTAATCCACGCGTTACCGCCCTTCTAAAACTAGTAACCCAGCCATTGCATGTCAGAGCCTCCTCGTGCGGCGCTAGCCGAGTTTGTCCGCGTAGTTGGCGAGCCTGTAACCGCAGAGCCGTAGCTGTAATGCCTGTGCCATCGTTTATCCAGCCGCCCGCTTCCTCCGCGCATCCGCGGGCGTGTGTGCGTGTCCGTGTGCGTGTGCTGTTAATTTGGGCTGTCCCTGGATGTCCTGATGCATGCCTTACAGTGGTAAATCGCACCCATCTTAAATTAAGGAGGTTTGCCATTCTATATAGGAAATTAGAAATACTGCATAGGCAATCTCATAGTCGATCTTGAAGAAGCCCTAACTTAGTTTTTTTGAAGCCTTTGTATAATTTGTTCTTTTTTTTCAGAACACAGCGAATGTTTCCTAAATCCTTGCCTTTCACTTCCTCCGATTACAGGTGCTAACGTCATTTTGAGTCATTTAAAATAGTTTATAAACTGCTTTTTAATTTTTTTTCCTGCCATTATAGATTTTAACATTAAACACTTATGACATTAAGAAAAAAATACCATCCACACGTTTTGATAGTATTTATTATCTATATATCTTTATATCTATTATGTTTGATAGTATTTTTTAATTTTGTTTTTTGTTTTTGTAACAATTGCTATTAAAACAGTAATACAGTAAAAATAACGCAAGAGTTGTACTAACTGTGCAAATTGAATATGCAGTATTTCTTTAAAGAGACTGATAAAGAATGGAAGCAAGTCAGTAATGAACCTCCTTAATCTAATGGCATTTTTCATGGCTCCCACTAAGTCTTCTCACATTAGCATGCATAAGCATTTTTTTATTATTATTTTAGTTTTGGATCTTTTTTTTTTTCCTTTCTGCTCAAGCCTATTCATTGCAATTCACTAGCTGTACTAACTCTCAGCACCTTGCCATGCTTTACATTTTATTTTCTGGCTGATACTAACATACTCATTCCACAATCTGCTTATTCTTATCCATTCTTTTAAATACCAATTAATGAAAACAAGTAAATTGAATGTTATTCCAAAAGCTGCATTATCCCAGGATATATAATTTCTTTTTTTTTTCCTTTCTTTTTTTTTTTCCCTCTTGTTTTGTATCTGAGTTGAAGAAAAAAGCATGTTCAGGATCTAACTTCCATACTCAGCTTCTTTTCTTCCTTTCCCCACCCCCCCCTTAAAAAAAAAAACAAAAAAAACCAAACTCCAGCCCAAATTAAACTTGCCTGAAACATCCTGCTAGATCAACCACAAAGACTTTCCTCTACCTGCTCTCTTAAAAGGGAAAGAAACAGTCCTTTATAAAGGGATACTGCAGCTTTAATTGCAACAGCTAATCTCAAGAGTTGAATAAAAATGTAATTCTCACTTTTTTAAACTTTTAAATCAAAAGTCAATATTTGCAATTAATAACGAGGACATTGATTTTTATTCCCTTTTTTATTTTTATTTTTTCCTTATTTTTACCTTTCTCTTTTTTCTCCCCTTCTCTCTTTTCTTCTCTCTCTCTCTCACTCCCCCCTCTCCCCTTTTCTTTTTTTCCTCTCTCCCTTTTCTGCTCGCTTTTCTTGAACTCATTCAGACCTGAGCGCTCCTAAGAAATGCCGAGCGCGCTTTGGCCTTGATCAACAGAATAACTGGTGCGGCCCCTGCAGGTGTGTATAGTTTTCCCAGACTCGCTATGGCTGATTTGCAGCTGGTTTATTTGGTACTTTCCCCTTTTTTTTCCTGCCTTGTTGCTTTGTAGCTCTGTGTTGTGATCTAGAAGACACAAGGGAGTGGGACACTGCCATCAGTAATCATCTCTCCGAAAGGGTTTTGCTTATTTTTTTTTTTTCCTTTGTTGGTTGGTTGGTTGGTTTGTTGTTTTTTTTTTTTTTTTTGCCTTCTTCTTTGCTGCTGCTAGCCAAAAACCCACTGTAAAACAGCATCAACCTTAAGCCCATCTGATTCGTGGCTCAACCACGCTCCTGCCTTCCAAGCCTCCACCAAGGACAGTCGCTCCCAAAGCCCTTGATAACGCGGCACTGAGTGCGGTTCCGACACCACACAGGCTCGTGTCGGAGATTTTTTTTTTTTTTGGTTTTCCTTTGGCTCATTGTGAAAGTCCTGTTTTCCTTCCTGCCCTTGGTACGAGGGGAGATTACCAAATAAAACGGAGGTGATTGAAAGCTGAACGTAGCTGTAGCTGAGATGACGCAGACCAAATGAGCTCTATCCACCATTGTGTTGTATTTTTTGTGTTTACCTTATGCTAACAGATGCAAATACTCCAAAGAAGTGTCGGGCATTGTTCGGGCTTGACCGACAGAGTTTATGGTGCAAACCATGCAGGTATAAAACTACCCATTAGGCCTTTGGGGAAATAAAAGCAATCTGTCCTCTTAGTGCATTTGTGTGATTTTATTTTTTTAATCTTTTTTCCCCACTCCCCACTTTTCTCTCTCCCACAGCATCAATTGCTAATAATCTTTAATCTTTGGAATTTCTTGCTAATTTAATGCCATTTTCTCTCTTTCTTTACCAATAACCTCTCCCTGGTGGTAGAACTGGGAACAAGAAAACTCAAAGTCCTTAAAGCTGGCAAATTTTTGGCTTTTTTTGGCTATTTTTTCCATTTTGTCAGCAAAATTAATATTTAGCTGGACATTTATATTTTGTCTTTCATTTGGGTCTATGTCCCCTGCCTGCAGAGGCTTTTTAAAAAGGTTCTGGGATCTGCAGTACTAGTGTTTTTCTCATTATTAGAGATGTAAAAGCCAGTGTTTACAGCTTGTATTGTATTCATTCTTTTGGTATTATCTGAAATATTAAAACAGCTTCCTGTTGGCTACTATGCCTCTGTAAGGCTTATGTAGATACAATTTTTAAAAATTATGTGAAATCTTTTTTCCTAATCCTAAAAATATATTTTTTCTTAAATTTTATCCCAACAAGTGAGCTGTAAACGTCTGAGCTCTAGACAAAACTAATTACAACTTTAGTAGCACAGTTTGCAGCATTAAAAGGAGATGAAAGACATCAGAGAGCCCAAATTCCGGCAGCCCATGTTCTACTGGAGTTTAATTCCATGTGTAACTCAGTACGTACTTCTTTCTTGGTGGAGGGATACCGAGTAGTTCTTTTCTCATTCCTTTTTCCTTATATGATCGCATTTGGTTAAATTTGTTGTTTCTTTATTCTGATACAAGCAGTCTTTGAATTTGGAATATTATGATGGTAGGTATTTCAACCCAAACCACACTCTGTGTGTAGTGATTCCTCTCCCACATTTTCCCCTCTTACTCATGCCAGTCCCATGTGCTCCATCTCATTTAGAATGTAGCTCAGACGTCCATCGTATTTTGTGTATGCACGCAGTCTTGTCTGTGCTTAGTGTCCAGGAAACTCGGATTGAGGGTGGTGGTGTGTGTCAGTGTACCAGAGGAGGCACCAGGAATGCCTTCTGCAGGCTGTGTGTTGTCCCATTTGAGGCACGGTATTATGGGGTGTTGGGGGTTAGGTGTCAGTACCAGGACATGTGTTAAACAAGCTGGGAAAGCAGCAGTTTTGTGGTGCTTGAAGGGAGAAGGGTTTAGCCCTGAAGAGCTGAGTAGCTGCTTCACTGTGTCAGGAGGCTCGAGTCTCATGCTAGCCAAGGACTGCAGTGCTGTGTTTAGTTAGGCTCTATTCTGTGGTTACTTTGCTGCACACTATCAGCAGATATTTGTGTAGTCTAGAGATAGAGTATGTGAAGCATGTCAAGCTCTGCATGCCAAGTACCAGAACTGGGGGCACATCATGTTTGTGTTGCTTTATCTTTTCCTGGCTGCTTAAGTAAGCAACATACTTTAAAAACTACATTTTATCAGCAAGGAAACTTTTTATTTGGTCTGTACGGTGCTTAGGTTACATGTGAAGCACAAACCCTCTCTTAACTTATACCAGATTTTGCTCAGAAGTCTTTTCAGTGCATCAGGGACAACTTTAGTGGTACAGCTGATAGTTTTGGACTTACCGATTTAGAGTCAGCTGCTTTTCTTTTTGTTTTGGTTTGATTTCTTGTTTTGTTTTGTCTTTTAATGCATGGAGGCATTTTACCACTAGGTATTAGAGCATTTCTCTCCTAGTTCTGGTCCTAACTGTTATAACATTGCATTTGCTAGCATGGTAGCATTTTGTAGCACACCTCAGGTAGGTGGTAAAGATGTGCAGTTTGCTGCTGTGGTGAAAACTGAGACATCTTTGCCCACAGCAAATGAATAAACCCTTGAACTCTTCTGTGGCTTTCACTCATGGCAATTGCAGCATTACAGGTTTCCTGGTGCTGTTCCAGGACTAGTTTCAAGAGCAGCAAAAGTGGGCTGTTGGTCAGGTCTGTTGGTGTTTGCTCTACTGATGTAGCAAGTTAACGCTTTCAGAGCAATGCACATGTGAATAATCCTCATTAGTGCTTCTGAGGAGGCAATATGTAGTATTTTTGTTCCAGCCTTTTGGAGAGCAAAACTGAGGCACAAGTAGTTCCTTAGATTTTTACATATTCCCCCTCACCAGAGCTGCCTGGTGGTCTTCACATCTGCTAAAATTAGGCTTGTGTTCTTTGGGGGCTTGCCCTCTGGACCTTTTGTCCCAATTAACCCTGACGGGTACATGACCACAGGTAACCAATCTGCGATTGGCACAGATTGCAGAAATATCTCCCGCCTTGAGCCATCGTGATTTAAGTAAATATTATTTTCAGACTATGAGTGGCCACACTATTAAAGAGTTTAGCCAAAGAGGCAAAATGCTCCCTTAATCCTAGTCAAAGGAAAATTACTTCAGGTAGCAGAGCAATGGGTTTGTTTTTTAAAAGGTTGTTAACTCTGCAGTGTCAGAAATCAGGTAAACCTGGTTTAAAGCTGCTTTGCCATGGGAGCTCTTTCTTTCAGGCCACAGAACATAAATAATATTAAAAAATAAATTTGAAATGCTGGCATACTAGATTCAAACTGCCTCCAGTTAAATAATTTACTGCCAGTTAAAGGACTTTCAGACCTCCATCAATGAGGTAGGCAGAGCTTGGGTCTCTGCTTGCAAGTAATTTTAATTTGGGGATGGAGAGGGAGTCCTGCAGTCTCCAGATTGTAATAACCCATCTTTCCACACAAGTAGGATTGGTGAGTTTTGTGGAGCTTAACTGTCCTGCTTTGCCACTGGAGCTGTACAGAAGGTCCAAACAGGAACTGTGGCCCTGGTAGTGCTGCACAGCTGAAGTAGGAAGTAGTGAGAGAGGAGATGGGGGGGAGAACAGCAGAACTGTCCTTAGGCAAGAGCCAGAGATCTCCAGTGTTGTTTGTTGATGGTAGAAGAATTAACAATGTCTGTTTTGAGCCCACCAAATTAATTTTTTTTTCTGTCTTTTAACGTTGCTCTAATAAAGCATGGTTTACAGCCTTCACTTGCTGTCTTCTATCTTTCTTTCTTTCTTTTTAACATTTAAGTTGCATGGTTGTCTTTAGTTTTTAGCATGTATTGATCTGCAGGCTAACGTGGTTAAAACTCTAATAGCCCTAACCCCTTACCTTGCCATGTGGCACATGGAGCAGAACCTGAGAGCAGACCTGAGGCTCTGGAGGAAGGGATGTCACAGCACTGGTCCCTCACTGAAGCTGGTGAAAGATGGGGTACTGGGGTGGTTGTTCCCTTCCTGGCTATGGGAGATGATAGTTTTAACTCCAGGATCAAGGTAGTGTGGTCTCCTTTGCAAATGAGAAGCATCTGTCCTCATTGCCTCGAGGATGGAGCTTGGTTTAACCTAGTCAAATGCCATACCTAGGGCAGAACACTGGTGACCAGCAGGGGAGCTGGGGCACCTCCTGGAGTGGGGAATGTCCCCATGTGACACTCAGCTGCTGTGCCACGCTCAGGCGCTCCCTCTGATGGAGTTGCAGAGCTGGAGTGATGTATCCACTGGAGAGGAAGAGCAACCTCCTCCTTCTCACTGGTGGCTTTGTGCAGCTTAGCTGAGCATCCAAAGTTCTCGTGGCAGAACTGCTCCAGACAGGCTTTGTCCTATGCCTTGGGCTGTGTGACAGCACTTCAGCACTTCCCATGGAAAGAAAGTGTGATTGTGGATCGGAGGGCTGAAGAGCCAGCATGCTTAGGGTCAAGGTGGCCACTGGACTCTGCCAGATGCTGTGGTTGTTTGCCTCATTATTTCTGTCCTACTGCTAGAATTGTCTTGCACATACTTGGCAAGAGAGATGGTGTGAAACTGTCATCTGTTTTCATTGCTCCTTTACATTATCCAGTGGACAGAGGGAGGAGAAAAGATCTCTGTCGGGTCACTTATTTATTTGAAGATGAGCGGCTCTTGCGAGACTCTCATATGCCCTGGTGTGAAATTAAGATCCATGTTGCTCCTCACCCTTGTACCTGTCGTCGTGCTCTTCACCTGCTGAAATTGGATCCCACTCTGGAGTTACATGGATGGCCTCTCAGAGGAAAATCCCCAAAACACAGACAAGCAGCTTCCCAAATCTACCACTCTCCCCTAAAACAAAAAGTAAAACTGAGTCGATTTAAAGCCACAACCTGCAGGGCATACAACCAGTTATTCTTGTTATTTTGGATCATACTCTGTTTTTCCTGTTCTTTTCCTGTTTTTTTCCTTCTGTTTGCTTTGTTTGTTCGTTTTGTTTTTATTTCCCCTCTCTCTTGTTCTCTCTGTTATATACCCCTTCTGTCTGACTGACATTTCTGGATTTGGTGTGGTTCTTAACAGAGGAGAAAGCAATGAGCAGTAGTTTGCAGCCGTTCTTGCCTCCCAAGGGCAGGGCATCATATGAGACCACAGGTGACACAGGTGGAGCTATAGCCCCATTGAGTTGGACAGTGTTATGGGACATCTTGAGATACCATCAGCTATCCAGGGTTTTTATTTTAGGAAGATTAAATTACTTTTTAATTTTTTTTCCATATAGGAAAGTTTGTAGATTAGAACAGTGGGCTCCAAAACCCATTTATCTGGTTTTCTGATTATGAAAATAAGAAAAGGAGGCGGCCTGAAGAGGAGGGGGATGAAGAGACAATTAATTGGCGAATCCTTTCCAAATCTCTTAGCCGAGGGGAGATTCCCGAGCGGGTTTGGTGCCGAGGACACCCTGCCAGACCCCCAGGATGGCACGTGGGGCCAGGATGCCACCCATGCAGAGCCCAGAGTAGCTGACTGATGGCTCTTTGCTGTAGATGACTGTCTCCATCAGCGTCTCTGCCCTTTATTCATGGATAACTCTCTCCCTGTTTCTAGGAGAAAAAAAAAGTGCGTTCGCTACATACAAGGTGAAGGCAGCTGCGTCAGCCCACCCTCTTCAGATGGAAGCTTACTAGACTCTCCTCCGTCCTCCCCCGCCATGCTCGCCTCCCCCTCCAGAGACTCGAAACCACAGACTGAACAAACGCAACCCCTCTCGCTCTCATTGAAGCCCGACCCGCTGGCGCACCTGGTGATGATGCCGCCGCCATCCTCGCTGGTGCTCGCTGAGAGCGCCGCGAGCAAGCCCGGCGCCCTGCCCGCCGCCAGCTGCCCCAACGGGGCCCTGGACCACCCGCCGGCCGCCCTCCCGCCGGCCGCCGCCGCATCCCTCGCACAGCCCTCGACGTCCTCCTTGCATTCCCACAGCTCGCTGGCGGGGACACAGCCCCAGCCGCTCTCCCTTGTAACGAAGTCCTTAGAATAGCTTTAGCCTCGTTAGCCCTTTTGGTTTCCTTTCGGGGGGATTGAATTCTGTTGGTATTTGGGGTTTTGTTTTTTTTTTTGTTTTTGTTTTTTTTGTTTTTTTTTTTTTTTTCCTTTATTTTTTTTCTCTTCTCCTTGTTGTCGTCCTCTGTTCGTCGTCGTTTCTCGGTTTCATTTTTAATTTGTGCCATGTGGCTACATTAGTTGATGTTTTATCGAGTTCATTGGTCAATATTTGACCCATTCTTATTTCAATTTCTCCTTTTTAAATATGTAGATGAGAAAAGCCTCATGATTCTGCCAAAATTTTTATCAACAGCTGTTTAAAGTCTTTGTAGCGTTTAAAAAATATATATATATACATAATTGTTATGTAGTTCCAATAGCTTAGTTTTAAAGACTGATTTTAAAAATTAAAAAAAAAAAGAAGCAATTTTGAAGCAGCCCTTGCCAGAGGCATTGGTTCTTTATTATTTGTATTAAATACGAGCTTGCGAACCAATCATTTTACATCTGGTTTTTAAACCTTTAAGGGCACAACGAATGCGGTGCCGCTACTACTTCTTTTTTTTTTCTTCCTTGTGTGAAACAACCTTTATTGTGATGTTACTTGTTATTGTTTAAATGTACAGAAACAAAGGGTTAAAAAAATGTGTTAATATACCTTGTTCCATGGTGTTGTTCTTTTTGGGGGAGGGGACGCTACTCAACAATTAAAAGTATCACAACGCTATTGGACCAGTAGTATTTATTGCTTTAGAAATTGCTTGTTGTATCTGTATGTTGTCCCTTTTTAAATGTTTTTTTTCTTCTTTTATTTTTCCTTGAAACATTGTATAAAGGGTTTTTTTTTTTCTTTAGTGTAAGCATCTTATATATAACAACTCATTTGTACAAGGTTTTTAAGTTTATATATAAATGTGTATATATATATTTTTCCGGGATTTTGTTTTTGATTTGTTTTCGTGATTTTTTTTTTTTTTTTTTTTTTGATATTTTTTTTTTTTTTTTTTTTTTTTTTTTGCTATATGAAATACGGTTGCCACCAAATGGACATTCGCAGATGCATTTTTTCAAGGATCAATAGTGTAAAGAATAAAATTGCTTTAAAAGCCATTACACTCGAAAAGACTTGAAAATTTAGCAAGGGAATTTTTAGCAATGCTGTTTGAAAAATAGCAAGGTCCAAGTGTCTCCCGTTCAGAACTGCAGCTGAATCCCCTGCGACATTAGGACTGTAGGCTGTGTGCAAAATTTTTATGTGCCAAAATTCTCAGTGACTTTTAACTTTCTCCCGACAACTTTATTAATTTTTTTTAATGCTGTAATTTTTTTGTTCATCATGTTTTGCTGTGATGTTACATAGGTAGATATGTATGTAGTTTTAATGTCACCTATAACAGACGTGTTTGGTAGCAGATTGTCCGGAAAGCATTTAAAATGAAGAGGTATAAACCCTTAAGGGCCAAATTCTGTATATTAGATTATTCATAAAAGGAAAATCAGACTGCCACTTTTATGTACACTTACTACATACAGGTAGGTAGCAAACTTAAAACAAAAAAAAAACCTAGGCATGTTGATGTTGCAAAAAACGCTGTATAAAGCTGAAAAATTGTTCATCTGTTCATTCAGTGCCATTGTAGTTGACATGAAGCGATTGTAAAACTGTCTCAGATTTTTCTCTGGTTTATTAAGATGCTAACTATAACATTTTTTGTGAATACTTTGAATGTTTCCTAACAGTTGTGATGTTACTGTTCCGTTTTATGCTCTTATTCCAATTTTCATTTTTAATGGTTTGGAAGCCATTTTTTGTAATGAATAAATGTTCATGCTGTACAGTATCTGTAGCATGCAGTTCTGGATTAATAAAAGCAACTTAGTATGTGCAGAGAATGACTTGTCAACTCATTTATGCATTGACTGCATTTTATCTGGCTGGAAAGATTTTCAGGCTGACTGGAAAGATTCCTTGGGAAAAAAAGTGAAAATTGTGGCAAATTGCAGCCAGCTCTAGTTGTGAGAAATCCCGATTTGCATTTGCACTGGCCCTCTCCCTGCTCAGTGCCCTTTTGCATGAGTAGCAGTGGTTAAAGAACCTTTTTATTTAAAGCAAATGGCACATGATTTGGCAGAATACAGCATGTGAGCTGAGGGAATGTCCTTCCACGTGAAGTGAGCCTGACTGGTGGATGGGAGACCAGGGCTGGTGATACCTTTAATTTTAATACACTTCTGTTTAACCTGGTGATCAACACAGAGCTGCTGCGCTATAAAGGTCACACAGGAGAGCCCACATAGCCCTAATTAGTAAAGTCCTTCTTCTGGCCTTAGGCTTTATCTCCTGGACAGATTTGAGTCCAGTTTTGCTTATATTTGAGGGGTTTTTTAATGCAATGAGCCCTTGCAGCACAGCCTGCTCTTGGTTCTGAGAATCCAGCATCCATCTGACAGCAATACCTGCAGGTGCTGCAGGATGGATGTGAATTTATATGCAAAGATTCTTATTATGTTGTTGATTTCTTTGGTTTTTTTTTTTTTTTTTTTTTTTTTTTTTTTTAATAAGTGGAGATTTAAACTTCCTAATTTCCAGGATTCTGTCTCAAGTGGATGTCACCACAGGGCCAGCCATCATGGAAAATGTCAGCCATGGTAATTCCTGCGGTGGCGCTTGAGGAGAATGGAGTGTTGAAGTGGGTTTGTTCCCTGCTGTTGTGCAGGTGCATTGCTCAGGTATTGCATTTCTGTTTGGTTGGTCTTGGCGGGCTCTGCAGGAAGGGTGAGTGTCCTGCAGAGACCTGGGAACAGGCTGTTCTCTTCTGGGATGGTGCTGTCCCTTCCTCTGGGGTCCAATAAAACCTGCAAAAGTGTTCATTGGCTGCAGAAGGAATTTCCTTTGTGAAGGCCTGGGAGGTGTTGAGTACTAAATAATGTGTAAGCAATATACAGTACTTTAAATTGCTAATATTTAATTATTAATTAACAAAACAAGCCCTTTTTTTGTTCAAACATGTTAGCAAAGGGCAATATATGCGAGTATTGTTTCTTACGTCCTATTAGAAGGATTAAGTCATGGTGAATTTTTTACCAAACTCCCTTTATCTCTCTTGATCCAAGGCCTGATGGTGTTTTTGTTGTGGTCTGACATGATGCTGCCCTTGACCTCAGTGGAACATGTTCCCTCATCAACCACGACAGGCACGTGGGTGGGAGAGGGCTCTGCAGTGGGGAAAAGGACATTGCTGCAAAGCCTTTGTGGAAGATGCCAGACTTTGCTGTTGTTGGTAGCCAGTAAATTGAATGCAATGCTCAAGTTACTCTCCAGCTAGTTAAGGTTTCTAGGGAATTTTTTACTTCTTTTTCCTAAGTGTTTTGACTCTTGCTAGAGTATGGCCATCCATCAGCTCGACACATGTGCTGCATCTCTACTGAGGATAGCTGCTCTCTTCTAAAGTAAGGAATAGTGCTCCAGGGAGATCTCTGAATGCCATGATTCAAAGTAGACACCATGAAGGTATGATTCATATATTCAGGAAAATAATGCGTTCTTTGCTCTCTGCTTTATTAGGCAAACTTGCAAACTAGAGTCCTGAAACACCATTCCCGTGCAAATTAGTTTTCCTTCTGTGTGTGTGGTGAGAGGCATGTGTTCCAGGGATACATTGAACAGGGCTTGTAAGTGGTGGATAACTCATGCTGGGAACTTATTTGCTGTGGAAAACAATTGTATATCCCTGGGAAAGCAACTGCTTGTGTTTCCTCCAGGTTGTGCCTTGGCTGCACAAGGGATTTTGCCTTCAGATTTGAGGGACTGTGCCTTCAGATTTGCCTCCAAGTTTCCCTTGCTTAGAGGAATTGAGCTGGGTCAAGGCTCCTGGGAGAAAATTGCCATTATTTTTATGTATTCCCTTTGTGTCCAGGAGTCCAGGTACAGTGGAAATGTGGTGGAAAGACAGCCCTGTCTATGCATTGTAGGTGTAAATTAGGGTGGGAAACAGGCTGATCACCCTCAGATCCACACCAGTGAAGGCAGCCACTAGAGTGGGGTGGTGACAAAGTGGCGTGGTCTGTTCTCATGCCTAGAGACAGCACAGGATCCTGCATGCAGTAGGTAATTCACTGTAGCTATTGCTTCCATCTGTTTTTATGGACTAAGGCAAGGAAGAAAGTCAATGTATTGCATGTTCAGGAGACATTTATTTTCCATTAGTTTTGTAAATCTCATTTTTCACTTAGTGTATGGAATTTTAAAAAGTTTAAGCAATTGCTGAATCAAAGCAGTGCCACATGGTTTTATGCTTTGCTTAAAAGAAAAAAATGGAGAGGCAGGAAAAAAAGAGTAATCTTTAGAGTCCTGTTCATTTCATTAGACTATAAAAAAGATGTAAAGAGAATTTACGGTAAAATGGTTGCATAAGTCATTGCAAAAATAATGAATGTTTAAACAATAATAATAATAATTATTATTATTATTAATTACAAAACCAATAATAATAACAACAACAACGTGTGTGACACTGCTGCCCAGGTATATCTGGAATAAATGTAGGAGCACCACCTAAGGGCTGGATGACAGTTTTGGATGCTGTTTTGGGAGAGGTGCTGGTGCTCCAGCTGAAAACTAAATTCAGTGCAGGGCTGAGATTGATCTCAAGTGATCTTTGTTGGACAGGACGTCTAAAGCTTTTGGAGCCTTTATGAATATTCAAATTTGCTCAGAGGCTGTAGCAATTGTTTTGTTATAAAAAAAAGGATAGACACTTACTTTGGCATTAATTTTAAGATGTCCCTGGAAAACATCTTGAGATTTTTGAGACAGATCAGCTACAAGTGATTTCATTCCAAGCACCCATCATTGTCAATAATGTCACCAACCCATTTTAAGGACCCTTTGTTGACTGTAGTCTTCCAAGCCCTGGACAGATTTTCTTCTGGGATCAATCAAAATATTAACTCATGACTTTCATCCATGTACTAGGAGCTTCTCTTTTTCTGGGGTTGCAAATGCTTTTAAATTTGGGGTGGGGGATATTAATCTGGACCTCTAAGGCAGTGGAGAGCATGAAGTCATGCTCTCTGTCCATCTGCTTGACCCTCTCCTGATAATTCTTGAATACTCTGGCATTTTGAACCAGATTTGACAGCGGCAGTCAAACTCTCAGAGATAATAAAGTCCCCCTGAGTTCCAGGGAAATCTCTGCCGGCACTGAGAAGAGAGGTTTTCCAGATCCACTGCTGAAGAAAAGGCAGGGAGAGCTCAGCTGTTATCCATTCTCTCTGGCAGCATCCAGATGGCCAATTATCACACGTCTACTTCTGGAGCAGCATCTGCTCTCCCCTGCCCAGCTGGCAGGCTGGGAAGATTAGGTAGGAGACATGGACAGCACTGGGATGTTGGAGGGAACAAGGGAACGAGTTAAGGGTATAGGGAGAAGTGGAAATACTGCAGCTGCAATGTGTAATATTATGTAAGACTGCAGTGGGGAAGCAAGGGGAGGGAAAGGACAATGGGGAGATAGGAGACACATCTGCAGGACACCAGGCCCTGCTAATGCTCCTGCTCACAGAGCAGAGCTGCTGTGGAAAAGTCAATGCAGGGGTTAGCAGATCCTTGTCTCACTCCTTTGAGTTAGCAGCTGGCACCAGCTCACCCATGGGAAGCACAGCCCCATTTAGGAGGTACCTGCTGGCAGGGGCTTGTGATGCCCTGGCCTGGACACCACCAGAACAGTTACAGGGTGGGAAAGTCCCAAGGTGTTTCCACAGCTCTGTAGCATGGGCATGACTGAAGCTGGGTGTGCAAAGCAAGAAGGGTGGGGTTTTGTTCAAGAAAGAGAGAAAAAGGATTATCTTATTTGCAAACAAGCCCATTTGTAGTAGCTGGTTGCCAGGCATTAGCAAACACCCTGGTTTTAATCTCCATCAGAAATTGTCTCCTTTGCTCCCTTATTTTGCGTTCCTTTTT